AAAATATGATTTTATGAATCAAAAATATTATCCCTTGGATACCTATCATTATTTTGATTTTGTATATTCTCAGTCAATTCTCAGTTTCTTATTTGTGGGAGGGTCTTATTTGCCACACTTGAGTCCAAGGCCATCTTCCAAATACAGAATTGAAGAAATGTAACAGTATTACATTATTATATGTTGGTCTATTTTAAGCAACTTTGGGAAGAGAGCATTAAATCACCTGAAACTTTGTTGAAACATTTCATTGGATATTGCAACTGGGCTATGTCACTTGAAAACGTGCAACAGGAGGAGCTACCACTCATGGTTTGAAATAGACTTATGGATAATTGAAACACATATTGTTTGGTGGAATGATTGAGATTTGTGTCTTTTTATATGTGTATAGTGTCGGTTCCAGAATTTCCATTCATAGAAGGGTCTGGCATCCAATGGAAGCTCCCAGTGCAGAAGTGGAAGAACTTTAGCCTATTCCCCATTCCCCTTTCCTCACCTCTCCTGCGCCACCTTCTATATTTTTCAGGAAGGGTGCAGGGAGAGGGATGTATTAGAGAGAATTACACACACCCTTCCTCCAGCAAGAGCTGTCCCTGAACAGAGTTCAATTCATAGGAACTCTGGATCTGAGCCATTTAAAAATGCACCTGATTGTAATACTTCAAATCCTGAACTCATCTGCCTGATTCTTTAATATTGTTTTTTCCCCTATTTTTTCAGAAAATATAACATTGTAAACAGAAAAATACATAGGAATTCAGAGAGGGAAGTAGAATCACCACTCTGAAAAAGGTTCATTTTTACAGCAAAAGGTAATAATATTATTTAAACAATTTTGTTCAAATTGAAAAATGTCCTAGCTGTGTAGTAACAATGAGTATAGATCCAAGACTATAAAATATTTAGTTCATATATAGTTGTAGATTGTGCTTGAGCAGTGACTTTCTTTCTCCTCTGCCAGATTCTTTGTTGGTTACATATGGAATTTTAAATAACTGATTTAACTGATCCACTAGCTGATGGTTGGACTATATTCCAGACTCTGAATTTTTAAAGGACATCTCAGAATCAGAGATGACTGCAAGCAGTACTTGGGAATAATTTGGATGAATCATGATCACTGCTTCTGTTTAAAGAAATTATCATATTAAATTACTAAGGGTACAATTTAGCCAGGGTGCCTATAATCTTTTAAACTCATGGGCTTATGCAGTGCATCCTGTGTAAGATGAGAGGAACATGCAGGTAAATGTTGGTTCTGTGCTTCTCCGGGACTACAAAGCACTTAGCTGATTTTTTGCCTGTCTTGGTGGATCAAGTCTTCTCTCCTACTCACCCTTTAAAATGCCCCAAAAGTCACTATTAAGTCTGCAGATACTCAGCTGTTACAGTCATTTCCACATTGGCTGTGAGAGGGGGAAAAAGGGATCCAAAAGGATATTCTCAGCTATGGCTGGAATGATTTTCCAACCTTGAGCTGGGGATCCAGGCAATCTTATGGCTGTCTAGCCCCTAGCTAGCAGCCATAAGATTGCTCCGCCTGGATGAGAAAATGCAAACTTATTGTAAGGAAGCACATCTTAACAAAACAACTGACAATAATTGGGTGAACAGACCTTTTTGGGCTAGTTGTTGCAATCTGTGCCTAGAAATAGAATGAAACTTTGTAATATTTTTCCAAAAATAAAATACTGTATTCATGTTTTGATTTTACTTTTTTCCTGCAGGTGGAATTCATTTCCTTTGTCAGTAATCCTCCATTTTGGAAGGTCTTTATGAAAGGTCACAATATGTGCCAGAGCTCTTGCCATTTCACATATATAACTGATGATCCTGTCTGTATTCTTGTGGTTTTATGAGAGTAAACAAGTTTCTGTTGCCATAGAAAAGTTGCTTCTGCAGATGTGTGTAATGATCTTTTGGGTGGTATGCTAAATGAATGACTTTATCTATGAATGTTATAATTGTTATATGAAGAAACTGTTTAAAATAGTTGTGATCTGATTATCAGATTAGTTTTTGTTCAATGGTGAAAATAAATACTTTATATGCTATCATGTATAAATAATTTATTTAACCATTCTGTCTGAAAGTCTGTCTAAGTGATTGGATTTGACAGGGGCAATAGAAGCAATGCATAGTTCTGTATTGACAGGATCTACTGTACAGGCCTAGCTGGTGGAATAGCTTGCTTATAGACAAAACAACAAGAACAATGTAGGCTAGATTTGGACTTAGCATAGGACCAGGTTTGTAGGTCCTGTTGAGCAGCTCATAATACTCAAAAACAGATTTCATCCCTGTCATGAGCCAAGTTTCCTCCTTCAAGTAGTCAAAAAGCCATATTCCATTTCCCTTGCAAGACATTCTTTATTGTTCCCAAGTACAAATTACCCAGAATCTGTGGGTGTGCTCAGAGCAGTTTGCTGAACCCAATCTACTGTTTACCTCCAGGAACTCTCCTTATGAACATGTCTGCGCCCCATCCCCTTGGGAGGGCTGTTCTGAAAGTGAGCATTCCTCCTCTCTGCATGCTGCTTATTCAAATAGGCCTCCAGCCTCTGCTGAAGCCTCACCATGGGGTTGAGTATATGGAGGGTGGTCTATATCTGAAAATTCCTCATCTTCAGAGACCCCCCCCCACTGGCTGTACATCTTGGTCATTTCCAGAAACTGCCATGCTCAGCGAAGCATCTGGCCTTTTAGCTCTGCCTACTTCATCAAAGTCTTGACATAACCCATCCTCCCTGATACCATTGTAAGTTAATTCGCAATCCAATTCTGGATTGTCTGGATTGTCTGTGAAAATGATAGCCCCAGACTGCCATCTTTCTCACTCCCACCAGACCTATACAATGAGGTGGGCTTGTGAGGGAGTCAGTTCTCTCGGTGTGAGGAACCCCAGTGTCTTAGTGCCAGTGACCAAACATCACAAATAACAAATAACTATACATAAATCCCCCTCCTTCTAGCATTTTTAGCAAGTTAAATAATAGCAAGTTAAAGCCAGAAGATAGAAAGCCACCAGGGGTTTAGGGGATATTCAGTATACTTTATGTATTATCTGCCAACTGGACAAAAGGAATTAGTGTAACCTCAATGTAATGAGCTCGTGGCTTGCAGAGAATAAGTTCATTCTCTAAAGCCAGGGCTGCTGACCTGCAGAAACTAAGAGAGACAGATGAGATCTTTGGAGACCTAATAACAGTGTCCCAGTCCCTGTGAGAAACTCCTCTGATGTAATGGGGAATGGAAGTCTTGTGGAATGAGAAATGTTTTTCCTGGATACTGAAGACCCAAATAGGCACAGTCATTCTAACATAATAGAATGTCCAGCTGCATCTTGAATGCCTACATACGAAGTCATGACCAAGTATATGAAGCATCTACCAAAGGCTTTCTAATCTTGCTACTTGTAGTTCCCTTTCAGATTACTCCTAATCAGTTGTGGTGGTGGTGGTTGTTGTCATTATTATTATTGCTGAAGCATGGATTCATATCAACACATGGAAACAAAATCATAGACTAGTGTAGTTGGAAGGGCTCAATAAGGCCACTGAGTCCAACCTGTGGCTTAATGCAGGACTCCCAGTTAAAGCCACCCTGATCAATTGCTACCCAGCTGCATCTTGAATGCCTACAGTGTGGGAGAGCCCAAGCACCCCCCATGGTCTATGAATAAAGCAAGCACCTTGTGTTTCATGATGCGAGCAACACAAACAAGCAAAGTTTCACCTAGGGAGATGGTTATGGCGGTACTACTCAATGAAGCCAGTTTGGTTATGTTTAGTAAGTCAACGGCATTAATACAATATGTACATTGAAAAAAATAACATACTGGATTAAATAAATATTTTAATTAACAAAGTTCAGCAAGCATAAACTAAAACACATCTAGGAATTTCACCAAAGCATTTACAGTTAATTATGAAGGTAGCTTTTCTGGGAAAGGTCAGATTGACCAAATATGAGCTCCGGTTACATTCATAAAAATTCAAAATGGCCTGCCAATCTCATATTGTTTCGACCAAAAATCTATTTCTGGAACTGTCTCTTAAAGTGGAAGGTAGGTGCCTTATACTCAGGCAGAGTACTGGTCTATCGAGCCCAGTATTGTTGACAGTGACTGACAATGGTTTTCTGGGGTTTCAGTCAAAATGCATGCTCTACCACAGAACCATGCTGCTTAGTGAAACAAAGAAGTCGCCTGCAATGCAGCATGGCTGAATCTCCATTTCTCTTTCCGTCATACACTAACACACGCTCTCATTTTCAAATCTGCTGCAGATGCAGTATGTGGTGCAATATGGAAATGCTTCCCGACGGTTGTTTGTTAAACCATGCTGTCCTATACAAGTCCCTATGAGTTTGGTGGGACTCAGCCCTTAGTAGGGGTGGGCTTGCGTTCCTACAGGCGCAGGCTTCCGCCCTGGGCTTCTCTGCTGGGGACGCTCTCCCTTCTAAGTGCCTGTCTTCGTCGGCGCCACCGGGACGGAGGGAGGCAACTGCAGCCAAGAACCATGCCACCCCACCCCGCGACCCGTCACCGCCATTCTCTGGCTTCTCGAGGAACGCGTCCTTAGCGGCTTGCTCCTGTCGCGCGCGGACGTCCGCGCGCGCCTTTCCCAACGCTTCCTCCATGCGCATGCGTCGCCTCACCGCTTGCCATCCCCTTCGACGCAGCCCATCCTCAGCTCGGTGTCATGCAACGATCTTCGTGGCGGCCTCAGTTCTTGGGGATATTGGCCTTAGTGCTCCTACCTCAGGAATCGCTGGGTGGGTATGAGACGAGGACTCTCCTCTTTCTTTCATTCTGTGTTTTTTTCATTCACGCTGCTCTTACAATGTCCCTTAAAGCTGGTCCTGTCGTCTTGCCTTCTCTTGTACTTGATAAAGCGGGATCTCCTCATGAGGCTCTGAGGCTCGTTTCTTGGGCGCCAGAGTAAACCGTGAAATCCGTTTCCCCGGCTCCTGAGGGCCCAGTGCGCTCTTATCAGCTCTCCCAGCGGAGGTGATACAAGAGGCCGATATCACGCAGAGGGCCCGCTCTGTCATCTCTATGTGGATGAACCGGCAGGAAATAGACAAGGAGTTCTTTAGGTGAAGCGGTCTTTAAGGTTGCGGTTCTGTGTAACGGGTCTAAGGCGTAATCCTGTGTCTGTTTGGACAGAAAAACGAAAGCCCTTCAACGCCCAGCGTGCCTTAGTATGGCTGGCTGGAGCATACTGGGAATTGAAAGCCTCTTTTCTCTAAATGAGCATCAAGTGGATGGGAAAGGCTTGTAGCTTTCAATGAGCTCCCAAAAAGTTTAAAGTTCCGTCCACTTGCAGATAATGGCAGTTCGTTCCCTATTCTGTGAATTTCACTAGCATAAATCATTACCAAAATTCATGTAGATTTAGGTTGCAATTCTTGCCCACTTACCTGTGAGTAAGCCCCATGGAGTTCAAAGGGTTGACTCTCTTGAATTTCAGGCAGGATTCTTTTCCAGTCCTTATGGAGTCATGAGGGATTGGGCCTGGGATCTTCTGCACATTGTTGTTGTTACATGCCATCAAATCTTATCTTACTTATGGTGACCTAATATGAATGAAAGCCCTGCAGAATGTCCTATCCATCAGACCACTGCTTACCTGCTCTAAATTCAAGGCTGCAGCCTTACTTTATAGAGTCAGTCCATCTCTTACTTGATCTTTCTTTTCCTCTTCTGTCCTCAACTTTCCCTAGCATGATGTCTTCTCTGGTGAGTCTTGCCTTATCATGATATGTCCAAAGTACAACAGCCTCAGTTTTGTTATTTATGCTTGTAGGGAAACATTTGGATTGATTTCAATCCAATCCATGGAATGCGCTCCCCAGAGAGGTCCGCCTGGCACCATCGTTATTTGTTTTTTGGCGCCAGGCAAAGACCTTTTTATTCAAACGTTATTTGAATTGTTAATATTATTTATTTATTTTATTCTTTGGCCAGGGCGCCTTAATTTATACTGTTAAATTATATTGTTTTATAGGATGTTATTTATTTATGTTTGTGAGCCGCCCCGAGGCTTCGGCGAATGGGGCGGCATAGAAGTTCCCTAAATAAATAAATAAAATAAATTTGCTTTAGGATGCAATTGTTCATCCATCAGTCCTAGCCAGCATGGCCAATAGTCAAGAATGCTAAGATATGTCATTCAAAACATCTGGAGGATATTAGTTTAGGCAAGAATTCAAAACTCTCGTGCCCCACTTCTTGCAGAGGAAGGAGAAAATATATACTTTACCTTCACGGATGGATGAACACTATATTGATCGTTACTTTATAAATGTTACCCTATCCAAAGCCCTTTATCACCCACTGGGAATCCTGTACTTATGGGTATAGGTTTTATTAAAATATGGGGGTGGGGGACATTGCTTTTCCATTTTGCAACTACTCAAGCTTTTTTATTGTTTTAGATGTCATATATTTAGGCATTTATATTGGTCCTAACAGTATACTTGAAAAAGTGAGATTATAAAAGAGGGTGGTGCCTACTTTCCATAGGGTATACTATATTCAAGATAGTACAAAAAAATACAGTAAGATTGTTTGCATATCTACTGGGAAGTAAATCTCAATGGAGCTTCCAAGTAAATGTTTCTACTTCTTAGAATACAGCCTTAATTAAATAAGTATTGATGGAAATTATTGTTGTGAATAACAATGGTGACCCAACCCAAAGTAAGTCAAACAATTTCTTATAAAATGGCAAAACCTATGACACTGACTGTGAGTCATTATTTATCTGTAAAATTTCCATCTCATATCTCTTGGACTCAAGATGGTAACTGTTTTTGAAAGCACTAGTTTAAAGGAATGTACTTGGGGCTGCATTATTTGATAAAAGACCTCTCCTAGCTGCAATTTACCTGGACGCTACTCTCAATGTCTGGAGCCTTCCCTTGGGTGCCAACTCTGAAGAAAGCACAGAAGGCAGCAGCAAAGGAGAAAACATTCTTAGTGGTAACCTCTCATAAGTGGAATGATCTCCCTGTTGAAGCTTGCCTGCCACCAACATTGCCACTTTTTTGGCAGATAGGATTGCCCTGTATGCTGCGGCTTAAGGGAGTACCCACCTCAGGTGTTTTACTCGTCCATTCTCTATTATGAATTGTTTTTAATTGGTTTTAAATGTTTGTGTTTTGTTATTTATGTTATTTTATTTAATACTTATGAGCCAGTTGTAAATCTGCCAGACAGCTTTGCTTATTGCAGGGTATGGATATAACACCACCACCATCAACAACAATTTTAAAACAATATTTTATTACTAGCTTGCCCTGTTATGTTTATGGAATTAGCTGAATTACATAAAAGGAGATTAATCTTTAACAAGGGTTCCATCAGAATATATTGATGTATAATATATATGCATTGTTTCATTTCTTGAAGCTTTGAAAAAATATATTCTTGTCCACTTTCAGCAGAGGAATGTGATGATCCAGTAGTCGAACATGGAATAAAATTAAGTGGATCTGAACCTCCATATACCTTTGGTAGCAATATTACATTCGAATGCAAAATTGGATACTTTATGATTGGAAGTTATTTAATTAAATGCACGAGAAACAGTTCTTGGTATCCTGAGGTACCATCTTGTAAAAAAAGTAAGACTTATTTATTTATAAAATAAACATTCAATTTGCCACAGTAAAAGGCCACGGACACATACGTTATCAGTACAAGCATTTTACAAAAATAGTGAAAAGGGTAAATACAGAGTTGTACAAAGAAATCTTTACTCAAACTCTTTTTCTGTCTTCCAGTGCAATCACCAGTGCAATTTTACAACTGCTAGACAGTATCTATTTTGAAATTCCAGTTATTACATTTTATTTGCTGCTTAGTCCAACTGGATTCTGAAGCACATCCTTCACTTCCCCGTACCTTGCTGCCTGTTCAGAAAGAACCACACCTGCTATGGCTCCAAGGTTGCAGTGACAACTAGAGATGAGATTTTGTGGATGTTCTGGGAAGGTGGGAAGGGGAGAAAACTGGCACCACCAAAGTGCAAAATAATTGAGGTACCTCAGTTTTCTTTCCTTCTGCCGAGGTGCCTCTACTAGATCTCCAGTATCAATTGCCTAGCAGTGCTGTAGGGTGGGGGAAGCGCAGAGGCAACCTTCACCTGTGTGGTCTTCCTGCCCTTCAGAAGATGCCCATAATCCTCCAAGTTCAGTGTGTTGCAGGCATCCCTGATTGGGCTGCACCCCTAGGCATCTTGACCAAGTTCAGGAAAACTGCTGTGCTTGAACAACATGATGGTGTGATAATTGCACAACAATGAGGGGCAGCCCAGAATTGCAGAATTGTATAACATGTTTAATAGCATGTTTGCTCGTGCTAGTTGTGTAAGGAACAACAGAACTTTCAATGTGGAAGTGGGATTATAACTTAGCAGTTCACCTTTGGCTTGGGTTGAAATGATTGGTTTCTATTGCATTACAGGTGTCTTAGCACTGTATAAGGATATTCATATTATCAGCACTGATTTGTGAATGGTGACAGTACTTAATTCAGAAAGCTACTGAGCAGTATAGAAATGTAACTGGCTCAGAGAACCATTTTGGCTAATGGGTTGTCAGAAACTGTATTGCATTTGCATTTCATTAAGTATAACCTCACTGGTTACATTTTTCTCACAGTGTTCATTAGTTTACATACTTGCCAGATGACAATGGAGTTAAAAGTGCAATCCTAAAGGGATTAGCATAAGCTCCTGAATTTGGAAACTCATGCTTATCCAATGCAGACTGGGGGGAATGGGAGAGGTGATTTTTACCTCCTTCCTGATTCTGCTCAATATACTTGCTAAGTAGCCATTTTCAGCTTCCAAGTTACAGAGTTTTGGAAGGGGAAGGAAGGAGAGGCTGAAGCAGCTGTAGGGTAGTGTGTTTCTTGGCCAGTCCAATCTCCTCTGTCCCCTGCCTGTCAAAACTCTCCCTTTTACCCCTCCTCAAATGTGCTTTCATGATCTCAGAGAGCATCTGGTATTAAATAATTTTTTACTCTCCTACCTGATCATATAGCCCTGTGACACATTTTTTCCTCTAAAAGAAAGAACTCTATTAAGCCTTCTCAGCCTTGTTGCCTGGGAACTTTTCGTACAAAAAATAGCCAGTCAGGTAGCTATGTGTAAGGCTGAACAAATGTGTAACAACATAAAAGGTACTTGGAAATAAAAAGTTGTTCTTTGCGGTCTTTGTGTGTCACACATATGGGTTCGTCGCCTGTGTGGAGCCTGTTACTGGAAAGATTTCCAAGCTAGACTCTCTGTCTGGATGTCTGCTCCAGGCAGGATTGCTCCTTCAGCAGAGCAGTCCTATCTACAGTCTTCCACTGATGGCCATCTGCCCGCCTCCATCTTGAGGTAAGCTCACTAGTCCCACTTACATGTGTCACATAGAGACCACAAAGAAGAAAATAAAGTTGTTTATGTGTAACTATTGTTCTTTGAGTGGTCATCTGTGCACAACTCCCCCTCCAGCCCCACATTGGTGCCAGTCAGCTTCAGTACCATTTCTTCCCTATGGTCCTGTATCTACTTGGTATGGTTCAGTTATTCACCAGCTTCCCCTGGTTCCAAGGCCACAATGTCAGTCTTGAGGGAACTAGGAAAAAGGACAGGAACCTCTCTTAGATATACCAGGGGACAGGAGGGAAAGGGTTCCCGCCAGAACAAGTCTATCTTGGAAATCTTTTCAACAGGCCCTCCACAGGCCCCCTATCTTGCAAAGCCCATATGCATGAATGTGTAGATGACCACTTGAAGAACAATAACTACAGGTAAGAAACTTTATAGAAAAAGCTACTTCATTTTCTCTTATTAGTATTTTGAATGAACAGTGTCTGAATTGTTTCTATTATACCATGTTTAGATTTTATTTTTCTCATTACAGTTACTTCAGAATTATGTGGTGCCCCATTAATTCCCAGTGGGAAAGTAGAGCCACTTCAGCCTCAATATGAGATTGGACATGTCATTGATGTACACTGTGATGCAAACTATTGTTTTCCTGATGAGACCATAGAGATGAGTGTACAATGCCAAGGCTACAATTTATGGAACCCTCCGGTACAGCCTTGTTTCTGTAGGTAAAAATCCAGCTCTAAAGCTGCACCTAAGATGCTATTTCCCCATTGTATAAATGTTTGTTTGCAATTCATAAGGTGAATTATTGAATTTGATCCAGAAACTTCACTTTTTATGTGGAAGGATAGTGCTGGTGAAATGAAACTTCTTTCTCCTTACTGCACCGTAGTCTCCCTCCCGTGCACCCTGTAAAATTGCTCTGATAAGTTGAAGGATCCGCTGGAGAGCACACTATCTTTTTCTTCTGTTTAAATTTATCTCTCTACCTCTTTTGAGCAGGTTGTTGGCAATTCTGACTCCTGGATTGGAGTCAGAATCTCTTTACATCTCTTTACATGAGATAAAGCTTGTTTCCACTAGCTTCCCACTTGTTCAAGATTGTCAATAATGAATACCCATTAAACCTCTAGGTTCCTCCTTAGGCTGACAGCTGAATTATTCAATAGTTGTTTTTTTTTTTTTACTAACTTCCTAATTTTAGGCTTCTTGTGTGTGTGTGTTGGGGGGGGGGCTTAATTGCCCTCTTTCTGCTGAGTAATACTTCCCCCACTAAAGGTGGAAGACTTGCTGCCAAGCAGCCACTGCCATCCTGCACTAGGTACCACCACTTGGAGGGACAGATTGCCCTAATATTGCCAGGTCCAAAAAGTGTTTAGATTCCAACATAGGACAACTACAGATGCTTTAAGTTTATTCACTTGAAAGAGGTTATATGACTTTGATACTGTCTCTCTGTTGGTGTTGTAGGGGGCATGGTTCCATCTTCTGCAGAGCTAGTCCACTACCTTTGAGGAAGTGATAAAATGGGTCCTTTCTCCAGTCCACCGCTGAATTTTTTCCTGTATATTTCACAGTACTGAAATGGAATTGAGGGCCCGATCAATCCTGGACCCAAGAAACTTGGGCTCCGCATGGTAGCAATGAAGTTACCAGATGGTCACTTAATAAAATAGCCTTCCTTTACTGCAGGACAGATACCGGTTTGCCTCCGAACTTTTTATAGTATGTCCCTTCATGCCTCCATTAAACACTCAGGCATGACCTACATTTCCAGAGAGAGGGAGCAAGGGAGTGAGCGAGCAAGAGCTCTATTCATGATTCCTAGAGCATTTACAAAATGCATCACAACAGCCAGTGCATGCTCATGCTTCCAGGGAGTCCATGTGTAATGAGACTGTGCATAGACAGGAAATACCTATTTCCCCCCCCCCCGCCCCCCTTCAGTCCATGCCTTTCATCAGGACACAGTTGGACTCCATCTCAGCAGCATTGTGTCTCCCACTGACAAGCCCATAAATACTGAGATTTTCACAAACCATCTCTCTTCCTTACATTGCATAGCCAATGGTGCTTTGGTCTTATGGTGTTGCTGGTTATGCTTGTATGGCTTACCAGAATTAGAATATTTGTACTAACTTCGTGACATGGACTTCATTGCACACCAGGATTTCCTGAACTTTTGCAGTAGTCTCCCCATGTGTGTGCTGCACAGAGATCATGAAAAAGGCAGGTTGTTTATGTGAAACTGTTCTTTGGTCATCTGTGCATTCACACAGCTTTCCAATTTCTGTACTTAACTGTGGTTTGATTGCAGTCAGTCAAGATGATCCTCCCTTGGTCCTGAGGGCCACAAAGGCTGTCTTGAGTGAACTAAGGGAATGGGCAAGAACTTCTATGTATATCGAACAGCAGGATGGGGGAGGGATTTCCTCCAATATGCTCTCAGCTATGATAACAGGCTCCACACGTGAAGATTCCATAAGTTTGAATGCACACATGACCACTTGAATGAGTTACAAGTAAGCAACCTACCTTTTTTCCCCAAGTTATTTGCGATCAAGTTCATTTTAAAATGATTTTTGTATTAAACAAAACAGATATTAAATAGACTGTCAGCCAGTTCAGCATATGAATCTTAATGTTTAGCCTTATTCTGCCAGTTCAGTAGTCTTCCTTTTGTTTTCTGTTCAGAAGATGCTAGTGCTGTTAAAAGCTGGGTTATTGCTTCATTTCTCTGGATCCAAGTAAAGTGACTTCTACTTCACTGATGTAACTTCTTTATAACATCGTCATCAAACAGAAGTGTTTTGAATAGTTTCCCCTTAACTCTCAGTGTTATTATAGTAGACATTATGAAGGAATGATTTATGGATGCCCATATCATAGTCAACTACCCTTTCTCAGCAGTTAAGGACTGGCTCTGGTATTGGATATTGAGAATATTTGCAAAGAAATGAGCTGGAACAGCATCTGTTCCACTTGTGTTTTAAATGCCTGAACTTTAATTCTGTGTGTATTTTTCTTTTAAAGATCTCATTCAATTCTTTCCAAATTTCAAGAACATCCACAATAAAAGTGGTATTTCCTTGCATGTTGTTCCTTGCATGTTGTCCACTAGTTAATAGCTAGTGTTGCTACTTCAATCAGAAATCAGAATCAGAAACATTTAAGGAAACCATTGAAACAAATCCTTGAGATTTTAATACAGCTTCTTGAACATTATACTATGTTGAAAGATGGAACAAAGCTCAGGGATCAGAGCTGGAAAATGGAGCTGACCAGAGCTGTTATTTTTCATATTCATATACTGCTGTTAACAAATATATATTTCTGGAAACGCGAACCCAGTTTTGTGAACGGCAACATTTCCTGACAGCATCTTGATTATTTGGGGAAGAAGATTAATCTAAATAATTTGTACAGAAGGTTATGGTGAACCATAAAACTGGGACTCCAGTCCAAGATCCTATTTCTAAATCATTTTGAAATGACTATATAAATACATTGTTGCATAATACAGTATTAGAGTTTATCATCCCTATTCAGTAATGAGATCTTTGAAATATAAGAAAACCACTATTTCAATTCTACCCTGAGCAAGCTAGTTGCAGAAAAGCAATCTCTCAAATGTCTCAACACTTTTTAAAGGTCCTGTGATAGCACCAGCTCAAATCTATACAATGGATAACAATATTTTCTTAAATGTTTTGGTGAGGAAAATTGCTGCAAATCAAGTTGTAATTATTTTTGTTAATTATATTGATTAGATTTAAGTGTGAAACTTCTGGAAAATCTTTCCAAAAAGATTTGGAAATGTCTCCTTTTAAAATATTTATATTGTTTATAATTTGGTGTATGTATTTTTAGTTAGAACTTCACACGATACTTCTGAGCTGTTTATCCACAATGGAAAAATTATTCGTGGGAAGAAAAACATCTATAAACCTGGAGATAAAGTTACTGTTGAGTGTAATGCTGGCTTTGCATTAAGTGGGCCAGCTGAGATTCGATACATTGGTGGGAAGAAATGGTTGCCTGCAATTCCAACTTGTTCTCTGAGTATGTATAAAGTTTGAGCATTTATACTGGCACTTGCCAGACAAACTACTTTAGGTATAGATTATGTAATTGCTTTTTGCTGCTGCTCCTATTTTTCTGAAACTGGAGACCTATCTTTCATTAATAAGTCTATACTTTGATGAATTTAAGAGTTGAGGCAGTTTACTTGGCAAAAATATATTGAAAGTTGGAGGATTAGAGAGCATTCTGTGTAGCCACTTCTGATGCATGAGCTGGACAAATAGCTTAAGTGCCAGAAGGATCCTGTTTGGGCAATAAGTAGTAATCTAGTGCTAGATAAATGTCATTGCTAGCAGCTGCTCATGTGGCAGTTTTAACCAAAGTAGATAAATGTTGCAGTTTTCAAAACAACTACTTACTTGACAAAATGGCATTACATGCAGAGGAATATATCATTCACTTGCACACAGCCCCAGAAAGCTATGATTGGTCATTGACCTGAACAAAGTTACCCTTTTCCTATGAGGAAAAGACAGCATGGGAGGGCAAAATTTGAATAATACAATGGTAAGATGGAAGGAATTAAGAATGTAACTTGTGTTTCTTCTGTCTCTAATTGTGGTCTCCTGAGACAGTTTTTCCATAATACAAATGTGAAAATGTTAAGTGATTATGTATTTGCCCCATGTGCATTCCTTTTGAAAGCACCTTAATTTTCATCCTGTAGTATGGGATAACTGGCATTCCCCAGTTCACATTCTGTACTGCAATTTACACATAAGTGGTCCTTTACTTGTCCTTCTAGGACAGGGTCACAAAGTGTGTAGTCTTAAAAATCTCAAAATGTCAGTCTCCTGCCTTTTATGCCCCCCTCCCCAAAATAAACTGAAACATCCCCAGGGTCCTAAAGTATCCCAAAATCTCCACAGGAATAGTTTTATGCTGTACTTTTTATACTCCAAACAATAGGCCCTAAACAAAGAAACAAAAGGTTCAATACAGATAAGTCTCTTTTTAAAGCTAAGATTTTTAGCTAATATTTCTAGCAAACATAATTAAAAACAATTGATGAAATGCTTTGCTTTGTTTTTCTTAAACTTAGTAGGCTAAATTGTTAGGCTGAAAAAAGATCAATAGCAATTGTTATAGATGTTATTGTTCTGCATAGCCTCAAGAAGGATTAAACCTTAAATTACTTGCTGTCCCCAGATTACTTGCTAAGAAGGGAAAGCCTTTCTTAGATTGAAACCTGGAGAAAAAGCCAGAACAAAAGCTTTTTATATGCAACATTTTCTTGCCTGAGATACTTTCATGTGACTGTTAGTTTTTTTGTTGATGATGATGATAAGGGATAAAGCAGCAATAGGACACTTTTTCAGCCTGAGGGCCAAATTCAGGTTTGAAGAGGTTCTTAAGGTAACATGGATAAGGACTAAAAAGTCTAGCATATTATAGCTTAAATCTCTTATACGTAATGCTTAAGGGAGGTATTTCAGCTTTTAAAATGGGAGAAAAACGGCACAACCATTAGGCAACCAGGAAATCACCGAATGATTGGCAGAGTGAGCCGGAGAAGCAAGTGTGGCCAGGTGGAATGCCAGATTGGAACCCCAGGACAGCTACATTTGGTGGCTGGATGTGAGGTGCCCCTTTCTTGCATTAAAGCTACATACTGTGTAGAACTCTTGAAGTAAACACCATTGTACACTGTTGGACCAATTCTTAAGTAAAGAGGCATAGGATTGACAGTAAAAGCCCCAAAGCCCAGTCATTTGCTTAATTAAACAGAGAAGGCAAAGCACAGAGTAAGCAAACAGATCCAGTGCAGGAAGTTCCCATATCCCATTGCTTGAATATCTTACAGCTGGCCCAGTCTCCTGCACAAAAGGAGTAGCAGCTCACAGCAGTGCTATTTACCAGGCAGCATGTTTGTGTTGTGGAGTTTGTTATATTTTTTCATGCTAGCATGAATTCATGGTTGACTTTACATAAACAGCTGTAAGCTTGAATCTACCAAACACAACTGATATTTTCCTTCAGAGGCTATATATTAACAGCAAGCTGAACTTTCTCTGCACAGCTTTTGTTTCTGCTCATTAGAAGATTTTATTTTCAGTTTGAAGAAGTGATAGTTAACTTGGTGTCTAGCTGTCTAAAGGAGCAGGATCCTCAAAGGCATTCAACTTGGGTGGTAGAACATTTATGAGAATCTGTTAGTAGTTCTTAGGTTCTTTGGTTAAAGAAGTAGACACAAACTTATATTTACAATTTATTGTTATTATTTTGCATTTATGCCTTTTTTCCTCTTATGAAAAACCCAAGGCAGCTGACTTTGTTCCCTTTTATCCTCACAACAACCCTGTTAGGTGGGTTAAGCTGACAGTGAGTAACTGGCCCAAAGTCATCCAGTCAGCCTCATGACCAAGTGAGGACTAGAACCAAGATCTCTCAGCTCCCCAGTTCAGCACCCTAGCCACCACACTATTCTGGCTTTCCAAAAATGAACACTCTATCCAAGAAAATAATATTTAAGATTTGGGAATGATGCGTAACACCAAATTTGCTTATTTTCAACTTGTATGATTTCTGAAGTTGATAGAAAAGGGATTTTTCACAGGGATAACTCAAGCTTAGAGAGTGGAAGAGAGCCTTGTAAGCCCCCTTGAGTTGATGCAAGATGAAAAAGGACTGGCTATAACTGTAATAATAAATGTGATGACAACAACTATATTATGGAATTTATCTGAGGTTACAGTACATCCGCAAATGCAATTTCATGAGACTGCCAGTCTGAATGAATAGGCTTTCATTTGATAATGATTATTAAATGGTTGCTTTCTGAGAGAGTCACTAATCAGAATGTTTCTTTCTGTCTAGATGCCTTCTTCATACTGCTTATAACTGGTATGTAATGTTTTGAAACTAATTTCATACTTTTTCATTAATAAAATATGTAACAGACTGACAGCAGCGAACATTTAAAGTCTTATTTACTTCCTTTGGAGGGATTTAAGCATCTTTGAGAGTGCTAATATACAAGTGGCCAGGGTGATCCACTAGAGTTAGACATCTAAAAAGTTTTTCACAAAGTTGCTCACCAAAGACTCTGGAACAGACTTTGCATTCATGGAATGTGAAGAGACCCTCTTATGTATTTGTGTATGGTTAAAGAACAGAAATCAAAGAAGAGGAATAAATGGCCGGTTCTCCCAGTGGAACAATGTAAACAGTGGGGCTGCTCAAGGATATTTATCATTGCTTTTTACTTGTTCATAAATTATCTAGGTTAATCACCACCACCACCACATTATGTTTATATTTTGCCCTTTTTCCTTTCATGGGAAACCCAAGGCAGCCAACTAGCTCCATTTTTATACTCACTAACCCTGTGAGGTTGGTTAGGCTGAAAATGAGTAATTTGCCCTCTCCACTGATCTTACTGGCTCAGTGGAGACAAGAAACCATATCTCCCATAGGTCAGATGGCACTAAAACTGGTTGGGTGGCTAAAACAAAATGTGATTCCAAGGGCTCAAAAAAAATCTCCCCAAACTAACATTAATGTGGCAAATGCAGTTCAGTTTAGTCACATGCAAAGTGTTGCATATTAGGACACAAATAAATATTGTACCACTGGAAAAGGTCAACCAAAAATGATCGAGGTGGAACAACTCTCCTTTCAAGAAATACTATAACACGTGGGGTTATTCAGTTTAGAAAAACGGGCAAGAAGGAACAATATGATAGAGTTTTATAAAATTATGCATGTTTTGGGAAAATGTATAAATTCTGGAACCCTCTCTTACAGTACTAGAACCAGGAGTCATCCTGTTAAGCTTATTGGTGGGAGATTCAGGACAGATGAAGTATTTCTGCACAGGGCACAATTACAGTATTTGCTACCATACATTGTGGCAATGATCAGCAACTCGGATGACTTTAAATGGGGATTAGGCTAATGTATGGAAAATAAGGCTATCAGATGTCTACTAGTCATTATGGCTATATGCTACTTTCAGTATTGGGGCACTGAAAGTAGCATATAGCTATGATTATGTACACTAGTTACCAGGAAAAATGGGCAGGAGGGCGCAGTTGTATTTTCTATTTGTGGCTGCTCCATGGGCATCTGGTTGATATATGTGCAAACAGAATGCAAGAGTAAGATAAGCCTTTGGTCTTATCTAGCATAACTCTTATTAAATTCTTAATTATATGTGAAATCTGCTGAAGTCAGTGGGATTTTAAAAGTTTATTTTAACCATACTTCTAGATTTCTCCTGTTCTTTAGTTTGACATGCTACTTTTTGTTGTATTTTCAACAAAATTCTCATGTTAAAAAAGAGAATGATGCATGTTTGATATAGTTGTATGTGTTTGAACATTTGTGACATACATAGAAGATCAAACATGCCAAAAATTAGCCAAATACTTTCTGACATTGCTTTTCTCTATTATGGTATCCAGAAGAGAGCTACTATTGCCTCTCCAGACCCCAACTGCCTGCTGCTAGCATATCTTTTGCTGCTAGCTGTCTCCATGCATATTAACTTATTCCTCGCCTGGAATATGTTTAAGATTGCACTGGCTGCTAAAATGGAATTTTTATTTCTTGTTATTCTCCTACCTTGAAAATGATGGGCATCTCCCTTTTGAAACAAATTCAGCCTCTCAGGGAACTTTGTGTAAACTGTTTTGAGAGCATATGCTAATCAAATGGTATATTAATACTTTAAATAAATAAGCAAACTTATATACATTTTCCACCATCAGGAAAATAAAAAGGTAGTTGTTGCGACAACAGGACAGAAAGTGGTAGTGGCAAAGTGCAGTAACAGTACCTTCAAAATAAATATTCAATTAGTTATGATTATTTGGGATTCTTTGGTTTTATTGACTTGAATTGTTATTTATTTCATTTATTTAGCTTTATTGCTTTTTCTTCTATTGCTATTGTTGATTATTTTATGGACTGTCATTATAATATGTTATTTATTGTTACTATGTTTGATGTTGGTATTTTAAATTGTGAACCATCCTGAGAGATGGTAGGCTAATTTGTTATGGTACAGAAATGTTTTAAATAAATAATAAACAAATATTACAGTTATTTGTCAGGGAAAAATGGCAGCCCGTATTATTTCATTGTGACATTCAAGTATGAGACAAATTGTGTTGTATACTTTTAGTAATATTTACAGTAGTATTTCTTAAACTGCTGTATTTGACTTGCATCAGTTTTCTTGATCTCATCATTTTTCTTCTTTACTAAAATAATGTGGGTTTTTTTGCTTTTTTAAAGCATTTGTATTAATTGTGTTGCTGCTGGCAATTAAAATGATTTACCAGAAATACCGTTCCCTGTAAGGGTAAGTCTTTCTTATTACCAAACTCTTATTCACATTTGTTTTACATTTCTAAAAAAAACAGTTTATACATTACCTACACAGGGCTTATCTAAAAGTTGAGAAAAGAATGCATATTGTATCATCATCTGAATAGTTGGAGCAATTCATTTTGCTGTGAGGACACACATAGTTGATATGAGCTGTGGCTGCTCATCAGTGAGTCTCTGCTAAAGGAAAATTAACACTCCATTTCAAATTAAGTAATTATAATCCTTTCAAGAGAGAGAAAAGTAGATCTATGATATTAAGCAACATGTGTATAGCAATCCATGTGTGCATGGTAACTTTTCACCTTTTACCTATTGACAACCAGCTCCTATAACCCTACATAATGTGCAAGGGGCCATCGTTGGCAGAAAAAGTTACCCCTTCCCTGATGTTAACATGGAAGCACTTTATTTTCATTACAGAACCATTTTGGATCCCCACTTTGCAGCCTGGAGCTTGCATCATTCTAATCAGATTTGTTTGTTTGTTTGTTTGTATTGCGATTTATATCCTGCCTTTTTCCTACAAAGGGCTCAAGGCAGCTTACATCATCTCTCCTCCTCCATCTTATCCCCACAACAACAACCCTGTGAGGTAGGTTGGGCTGAGAGTCTGACTGGCCCAAAGTCACCCAGTTGGTTCCATGGCTGAGCGGGGACTAGAACCCAGATCCTCTTGAGTCCCAGTCCCATGCTCTTAACCACTACACCACACTGGCTCTGATCAGTGGCACACTAATTAATGGTACTTTTGAATGTACTTTTTATTGGTGGCATTCATTTACAGGCTCATCTTTAGTTTTAAGGATCTTTTGGTTTGCTTGTTATATAATGGAAAAATTCAAAAAGGCATTTCTTCTAAAAACATATGGTACTTGATTTATTAAATAGTTACAAAAATAGTGTGCAGCAAAAGAAAAAGGCAGATATATTGAAGTTTCAGTAATATGCATTATCATTTTCCATGTCAAGCTGTTACAAATAGTTGCTAACAGTCTGGATACTTCAGATGGTGCAAAATAGAGCAGCCAGGTTGCTGACAGGGACTGGGCATTATTCTCACATAACCCCAATCCTCTACTAGCTTCACTGGCTCCCCATCGAAGTCCGGGCTCAATTCAAGATGCTGGTTATCACTTATAAAGCCCTTAATGGCTTGGGACCTGGATACCTAAAGGAACGCCTTCTTCCATATTTGCCCTCCCGCCCCCTGAGATCAGCAGCAGAGGCCCTACTCCGGGAACCCTCCGTGAAAGACATTAGGAGGCAAAGTACCCAGAGGAGGGCTTTCTCTGCGGTGGCGCCCCACCTATGGAATGCGCTCCCCAGAGAGGTCTGCCTGGCGCCGTCATTATTTGTTTTTCGGCGTCAGGCTAAGACCTTTTTATTTAAACAATATTTTAACAACTCATCTGCAGGTTTTAATTTGCAGCCAGGGTGAATCTGGATTTTATTTGTACTATTTGTACTATGTTTATTTATTTTATGTAAGCCATCCCGAGGCCATGCGATGGGATGGCATACAAAAATTCCGAATAAATAAATAATAAATAACTCTAGAATGCAGTTTTGTATAAAGAATATGAACAGGAAAGAAGCTAGTATGTTTGCACAACAAAACAACCTGCCCTTCAGGACATGGTGGCTGAAGCCATCCTGTCTCTTCCCACTCTGAGTTTCTTGAAGTCTGTCTAGCAAATCTGAGTATTTTTTTATTTTGTGGGGACAGGTAACATATGCAGTCGTGAAATCTGAGTTTATTTCCCTGTTCAAAAAAATAAAAAAATAAAATCCACACACAGAGAATGTAACGTTTTCTAGCTGGAAAGAGTTGAAAAGGTGGAGGGCACTGAGAACAGTCAGAGCAGTACTAAAAAAAGTAAAGTTTCACACTACGGATGAGGATAAATATTTGCCACCTTGGTTTGGTGCAAAAAACCCTTTACCATTTTGCTTATGCTCTGACAGCTCAGCAGGTTGGCCCAAAGTAATCTCTATGCAGTCTTTATTCATCAGTGTCCATGGACATGACCTCCTAAAGTTTGACAGCAGATGCTTACCAGGACATTGGCTAGGCAAAGTTTGATACTTTGGGCAGCCATCAGTACAACCTTGCAAAGGACTGATTTTTTTTAAAAAAATATGAATACATTTCTGCTGCCTAAAAATACTTGCTTAAGCCACTGAAAGTTGCTCCAAAGTATTGGAATAACACTCTAAAATACAAAATGGCAAGCAAAAACAGGATTATAGCTGCTGTAGGGAAAAAGACACAAGACAGGTTCTACAGTCCCAGGTTCTATAGTCCCTCCATGTGAATGGAAGATTTTGGTCCTTATTAAGTATTGCTTACAAATGCTCAGCCATCTGTTAGATGGACTGTAGGATGTTGCATGATGAACCCATGTTGTGTAGCTTATTTGGAGGGTGGGTTGTCATATTGTACAAACTTACCCATTGTGTACCACATTTTCATAACTTAGACTAGGTACTTACAGCAAAATAAATGGATTCATACATGCCTATGTACGTATTTTTCTTCTTCATGCAAGAAGAATTTTGTGAAATGCAATTCTCAGTTTTAAAAATTGCAGGGCTAAACCCCTTCTACATTTGGTTTACTTTTCATGTTTAATACCCACTTCATTCTTTTGCCAGCAGTGTATTTCTCCCTCATCAGTCAAGAAATCAACAAATGCAAAATGCAACCAAATATTGAGAGTTCACATAGTCAAATACAATGGTCCTTAAACCTACATCATTGCCATTTAGGTAAGTGGTTAAGAACACAATCAGATTAAAGTATCTTATAGCAGGGATGGGTAGCTTGTGGCTCCAAGGCTAGATATAGTCTTCAGGCTAATTTCATGCAGCCATCAACCTAATTTCAAAAGCCTCTGCATGCAGTTAGTTCAGATCTTTGGCAAGAGTGAACTGCTCCTTTCCTGGCTGTTTGGTTAAGAAGAGGGCAACTGAGAAAAGGGGATAGCATAAAGGGATAGAAAAAAGAATGAAGAAGAAGAAAAGTTGACTGATATCCTTTTGGTTCTGGCCTTGTGCACTACTGGCTTTAAGTCCAGCACTTTGCAGATTATCCATGTGTGTCTGCAGCTCTGGATAGAAAACAATGATTGTCCACTCCAGTCTTAAATCAGTTTGAACATTTATGCAGTGGGTATCAGTGTGAATGAGATATTCTGGTCCTTATTATTACTCATAAATGAAGTTAATTAAATCCTGACAACACATTTAAAAAGAAAAAGCAGTTCCAAGTGGGATGAATTTAGAGTGAAGAAAGTTGAGGTTTCTTAACCCTTCTCCTGATGTCTTACTCTAAATTATTTATTGAATTTTATGCATTATATTTATATCCTACCTTTTTTCTGCAAATACCACTTGACAGCTTACATAATCCTCCTCTCCATTTTATCTCCTGTGAAGTAAGCTATTCTGAGAGTCAGTGACTGGTCCAAAGTCATCCAGTGAGTGTCATGGTCAGGTGGGGACTAGAATGCAGATCTTCTGAGTTCCATTCTTACACTCTAACCACTATACCATCTTGGCTTTCAGTTATTCCTGAAACTGAAAGCCCTCAATGGTAAAGCAACTCTGATGGGAATTGTGTTTGTGTGTGCTGTGGAGAGAGGCTGGAACAGAGAAGATGTTGCATGAAAAGGATTAAGCACTGCCTTGTTTCTTCCATCCTAGGTTCTTCCCCATCCAAAACTGCTCAAGAAACAGACCACCAAAGTTTAGTTATATCCACCTCCGTGTAGAATTTAGGGAGACTCTATTAACCGTCTCTTGTTTAGATATACATAGTTAATAGAATCATAGAACAGTAGAGTTGGAAGGGACCAATAAGGCTACTGGGTCCAACCCCCTGTTCAATGCAGGACTCCCAAGTTAAAGAATGCTTAAGAGATGCAACTGCATTTTGAATGCCTCCAGTCTGGGAATGTTCATGTTCTCCCTAGGGAATTGGTTTCATTATTCTATTGTTCTAGCAGTCAAGAAACATATTTCACAGAAAACACTTTTTCTCTTCCGCTTCCCTCTTCTGTGCACCCTGCCACTGGTTTGCACGACATAGAAGCCACATTGTTTATTTGTGTTATTTCAGCAAGGTACATTTGGTCTTTAGATACCACAAGAAGAAATAATGGTTTGTTTTATGCTTTATGTGTATCATGACATCCTGACTTTCAAACCTGGCATTGTGATTCTCACAGTCCTGATATTCAGCTACCACCTGGAAAGAGTGGCCACTTTAGGAATTGGCCATTTTCCAGCCATCTAGCCTCTACTACCCATCTCTGCCCAGTAACATACATTTTGCTCCTTGCCTTGCTCCTACAGGCTCCGCTCTTTTCCTACCACCTTCATCTTCTCAGTTGTGTCCACCAGTTGCTGCGAGGAGGAGCACAATGCTGCTTGAAAGAGTGGTCTTGGAGTCAGCTGGTCTCTGTATTGCTATCTGTGTTTTCCAAGATGCTGGTCTGAGGAGTTGTGTCTTCCCTTTTCATTTCAAAGTATTTGAATACTTGGATATATGGTAGCATAGGGAAGAATGCTATAATGGGGGCAGTGGTAAATAAAATATGAGTACAGCTTTTGGGCAGCAGTGCTTGCACACCAGCATAAGATTTTGACAGATATCCTTTAGATAATAACTCATAAATTCCATATGAAGAAATCTTTTAAGGAAAATATAACTTTTCTTGTGCTGCTAAAATAAATACATGCTTTACTACAGAAGAGTATTTCTTGCTGGGAGGGTTTGGTTTGTACTTGGGAAGTTTCGTCCATGTTAAAATAAAGACTGTAGTGCATTTCAATGGGAATTGTGGGGACTGTTCCCATTCTGGAAAGTGAAGGAAGTCTGGCCTTCATGCCCACCCAAAGAGATGGGCGGACACAGGAGCAAAAGTAAGAAGAAAAGGCATGTCAGATTGTAGTAGAGGAGGATGGGGAAATGAAGGCAGAGAAGTACAAAGCAGGCAATAGCATGGAAGAGTAGAGGAAGGAAAAGTGTGGTGTGGTGGTTAGAATGTTAGGGGATCTGGGAGATTTGGATTCTTATCTCCACTTGGCCATGAAACTCATTCAGTGACTTTCAGCCAGTCACTCACTCTTAGCCTAGCATACCTCACAGGGTTGTTGTGGGGATGACAAGTATAGAAGAAGAGAATGTGCTGCTTTGGGTTCCTTACAGGAGGGGAAAAAACATGGGATATAAATAGAGTGAAGTGTAAAAGAAAATGTATTATCAATAAGACAAGAAAAGAATGAGGAAGAGATAAAGAGATGGTTCCTGTAACCAAGTGGGAAGAGAAGTGAGATGAATGTAAACCAACACAGATGAATTCAGGAGGATGGTCTCTGGCAATGGGTACTTTCCAAAGACTCCTGGACCAGGGGCATAACAGGAAGGGGAGAAAGTATGTGGGGGGATGAAAAGTAAAAAGAGTTGGAGAGGGGGATGTTGGGTGAGCTGACAAAAAGATAAGCCTCCATCCCTGATTTTTAAGGAGGTGGAGACTCTTTGCTGGGGTTAGAAAACACGAGCTACAAGCATA